AGTGGTCCGCCTGTTCCGCGTGGAGATGCACCTCTCCTTCTCTGCCCCTCTGTGTGACGGTGCCCAGAGGAGGCCGAGGCGGCGGCTGCACAGGGTGGGCCGGTCAGGGGCAGGGCGGGAGCCATGGACTCGGACCAGCAGCCAGACAGGGCCGAGAAGCCCGGCGCGCCCGGGGCCGCCTTCAGGATGCCGTTCGCTGAATACAAGAAGACTTCTAACCTGCTTGTTCTGCACATGCAGAAAATGGAGGAAAGTGAGTACCCGCACAGCAGCATTTAAGTGTAAGTGTCCGGTTTGTTTAGTCCTGGCTCCCCAGGTCTGCGCCTGGTGAACACAGAGTCTGCTGGCTCTTATCTCACCATGAAGGGGTTTTCATTCCACCTGCTGCCTCAGTGTCCTCAGGTGTCTGAGGAGAATGAAGATGCATGGCACTTCTGTCACTGCGACCTCAAGTGTGTGTGGGGGTGTGTGTGTGTGTGGTGCTCAGGCTCATTCCAGTATGCAGCTGGTGTCGTAGTGACTAGATTTCTGCCAGCTGTAGATTGTTCATAATGTACCGCAGGAGTGTCTAGCACAGATCCTGGAGGGCCGGTATGTCTGCAGGTATCTCCAGGTCTCTAGAACGACAGCAGCCGAAGAGCTGGGAGAAGTTTAAGCCAGGGACCAGCTGGTTTAACTCATTAAGAGCCGAGTGGAGGTGGGGGGGGGACCCACCGACATACCAGTCCTCCAGGACCAGGACGGCACGTCCCAGTGGTCCCAGTTCTCTGCAGTGCTGGGAATGCAGTGTTTGTACAGCCTGTCAGGACAGCAAGCTGGGACCTGATGCAACAGAACAGTTTCTATAATAACCCGTGAACATCGGGTTTGTCAGTCTGAGGGGCACTCCCCTGATCTAAAAACCGTTCATCTCATTTGTCACGTCCCTTGAGCAGAATAATGAAACGCATACTGTACCTACCCTTTGCAGTGGATGAAGAATCTTCACTGAGGAAGAGCGAGCTGATCAATTGGTACCTGAAAGAAATGGAGAGTGAGATCGAGTCGGA